GATAATAAAGAAAAAATTTAATAAACCGTAATAAACTAGGCTGCTAAATATCCAACACTATCTAACTTGATACCTTGGACCTCGGTTATTTCCAGCACCATCACTGGAAACGTAACAGACCTAGTGTTTATCATTCTAATCTAATTCCTAACATCAAGGAAGCACCGGTGCAAAGCAAATCTTCACAAGATGTCAAAAAGATCAACAAAAAGGTCAACAATAAAACATTTAAACGACAAAATTAGTCCAATAAATACTGAAATACAAAGTAAGTGTTGTGTCTTGTCCACATGACTTTACCACATATACAATGGAAAACAACATGAAAATGAAATTCACAAATGATTGGTAACAACAAAAGAGTATAAGTACAAACCTTGAGGAGGGAACTCGGGTTTAAACATGGGTGTCTCTGGTATCACAGTATTCCGCAACATCTGTCAATTACAAACAATTTTCTATAGTCAGTCTCTTCTGATATGAATCAGAATAGGATTATATCATTATATATCTATATATGGATAACATTGGAAATTCAAGTTTTAACACCATCAGACCTCAACCATTTTATTCTGCTTTTTCAATTGAGATATGATCAGAGAACCAATCAATGGCGCTTCGATTAACTTAACAAAAACCTTCAGCATCAACCCCGTCAAATGAGGAGCTGCAAAACCACCATCAATCCATGAATTAAACGCTGACCCAAAAAACCCAATTTCAAGAAAACAAAAAGATTCAAATTCAAAAAAGAAAAATGAAAAATAGAAGAACTCAGACCCTGGATTTGTTCCTGCTCGTATTTCACTTCCGTCAAGTCAATTTCACTCGCCGGCAACATCACCCGCTTCTTCCCCATTTCACGGCGACTAGTACGTGTGTGTGTGAGAGAGAGGCAATGACTTTCTCTCTCTAGGATGGTGAGTACAGATTTATGGTCGTTGAGATTGACCAGGTCAGTGACAGTAAGGTTCTCTTCTTGCTACTTTCTCGAGTATATATCTGAGTCAAATGCGTAAAAAGCTCAATTCGCATTAAATATTTGGGTGAACGGATCAGATGGATCCAATGGATGTTAGGGTTGGTGAGAGAAGAAGACGCAGTAAGCGCGGAGTTAATTACGCACAGTGCGTATATTAATAAGATCTGCGGCTTATCTGCCATTAATCTATGGAGCTTTCAATGCTTTTTCAGTTGCTTTTAGTTGGGGGTTATGGAGGACTTCTAGATGCATCCATTGCGTACTCCATGGATGAAGCTCCAGGTCCCATTCCATTCTCTAAGATGAAGCCAGTGACCAAAGCTGCAACGACTGAGAAAAAGTACCAACTGATTTACCTGATTTCGATTACACAGAGATAATGGCCATGAATATCCTAATTAATAAAATATATGGATATTTCGTAAATATTTTAAAATATAAGGTAAGATATATAATTTTTTAATTTTAATACATACCCTCTCATTTTGAATTCTTATACAATAAAAAATATCAACGAAATTTAATCTGATTTTGAAGACACGAGTGTTTTTTAAGTAATATCTACTATTTCATATCCAAAGAGTTTTAAAAAATAAGTTAGTTATAGTATAATTTAAAAAATAAATATTTGTAAATAAACCAACTAGTTAAATGTGGTTATAATTTTTTTAATTGGTTACGCTCATTTTATGGATATATCACGATGAAACGATATTACAACTTTTTCATGATAAAAATTCTTAATTTTTTTTTATTATTAACAATTACAATTCTTAAATCGTTAAATAATAATAAAATATATAATATAATTTATTACAGAGTCATAGACTCATAGACAAATTTTAGTCGTATTAGTATTTTTTTTAAAGTTTTATCGTAATGTCATATCGTATATGTATTACGTATCTGTATCGGTACTTATGTTAATAATGTTTTGTGTTTGGTTTAGGGGATGAGATTTTTTTTTTTTTTTTGGGGGGTGGGTGGGTGGTGGATACTTTTATACATGTATTTATTATATCACTTTTATGAATGAGCGGAACCTGAAATTTAACTAAAAGAGACAAACTGTAAGTAGATATAATTTACCAATTGACACACAAAAAAAATTTATTTCAAACACAAAATAATATATTAAAATTCAAGAGTAAATTAATATAAGAAATAATAAAATTTGTTTTTCATTTAGCCTAAATAAAATTTGAATAATAATAGGACTAAATATATAATTATTTAAAAAATTATGAGCAACAAACATAATAAATTAAACAAAATATGTCATAAATAAAAAATATTCAAAATTGAGGGGGGCAAGTGTCCTCTAGTTATAACGTGGCTTCGCCCCTGTATTTATGGATTTAAATTTAAAAATGTCAATATATGATTTTAATATAATTTGGTCTATTATATATTCTTGAGAAAATTTATTTTTGTGGAATTTTGCACTATTTACTTACAAAACACGGTTTCATACAATCAAATTTCCTTGAGTTATGCATATAAATAATCCTCTATTATTAGTCATGCAATGTGACTGTTCATCTAATTCCAAATGATTAGTTGAACTAAATAATTAATATTTTTTAAATTATTGAAATTAGATGGGTTATGCTTAGGGGCGGCCTGATGCACAGAGAAAGAGAGAGAGAGAGAGAGAGAGAGAGAGAGAGAGAGAGAATATTTTGCATATAAATAAAAATATAGAGAATAGATCTAGCTTCTTATTGGATAAAAATATAAAATTTAACAACTTTTTTTCATAGATTCCTTAAATAACAATATTGTAATTAAGTCAAACCCTAAAAACAACAAAATTTTTATTTATTTATTGTTGGATCCGAATGTTCACATTCACAGACACAGTGGGGGCAGCAGTCCCCACTTGAATTTGAAAAAATTTTGGGGTGTAAATATAATTTTAAAATTTTAAAATTTTATTAGACATTTGCCCCACCCACTAGTTTTAAAAAATTTATGGAGTTTATAGTTCTCTTTGTGTGTTATTGTTTTATGTATTGAATTGAAATTAGAGTTTCTAGTCCTGTATTTATTTTTTTATGTTGAAATAAAATTGAGGCTTATACTCCTCTTCTATAATTTAATTTTTTTTATATATTTAGTTGATATTGAAACTTGTAATTCTCTCTTGTGTTTTATTTTTATGTTGAATTGGAATTGGAGTTTATAGTCTTATCTTTTGTTTTATTTTTATATGTTGAGTTGGAATTGAGGCGTGCACTCTTCTATTATGTATTAGATTAAATTATTTTTCATTTGGTGGTTTGAATAGTTTTATTGTGTTAGTTTAATAGAATAGTCATAGTTTAAGTTAGTTTTTATTGTTTGTTAAAATTCACCGATGATTATTAAGTTTGTGACTGAATAAATTAATTTTTAAAAACTTAATTGCGCAATTAAAATGGAGATCAATAGATGAATGATTGCATGACTACGTATGTCGAAAAAGAAATTTTAAGCACCATTTATAATGAAATTATCACACAACACTTTAAAATATATGGAAACTCGTCGAAAACATCTATGAATATTTATAAGATGCTCGACAATTTTGATTCTTTAATGTATAGACTCGATATATGATTAAACCCAAATTTTTAGTTCAAAATTTTTTTTTTAGGTCTTATAGATAAATTTATAGTGAATTTTTTTTGTTTTGGCTCATTTTATATATCGATTATGTATAATTAATATATTATTAATAAAATTATTCTCATAGAAAAAGATGTCTGGCTCCGTCCTATTCACGATCATTATGGCCATTACTCTGCGTTACAACTCAACCAGTAACCTGATTTTTTATGGGTCAACTTGGGCTGACCCGACTGGCCCCGAGTAAGGCCAATTGTCCAATGGTTTGCCGAGCAAATACGCTGGGCCATGGGTCCCCCTTCGATCCACATTTTTTTTCATTCTTCTTATTGGCAAACACCCATCATTTATTAGCGAGTAACTTAGTTATATATACTAGTAATACATAATGTGTTACACGTAAATAAATTTAAATAATATTATTTTTATTAAAAAATATAAAATATATATGTAATTAAGTTAAATAATAAATTAGGTGTCAAATAATTAATTCATATTTTAATTATTACTAAGTTTAATTATTAATTTTATTTTATAAGTTTTTAAGCAATTAATCTGTCATTTATTTAGATATCTGTTAGATCCTTTTAAATATTTGCACATCTAATTATATTACAGAATTAATAATTTTTATTTTGTTAAATAGATTAATTAGATTGCTCTCATAATTATTATTTTATTACATGCCAAAAAATAAAATATAATATATATTTAACTATAGTTCATATAGATATAAATTTTGTATGTAACTATATTTATTAATAAATGAGTTCAAAAAAATTTATAAGGCCTTATAAAACAGTTTAAAACAAATTGAAATTAAATATGTGTACAAATATAAAAATATATAAGAGGGTATAATTAATCTTATTATAATAATTAGAGATATAATAGAAAATCAAAAATTTTCGCAGATGCTATCATTTATAAATAGTATACATATAGATACAGATATAACATATCCCACTTGAATTAATAGGAGATGATTTGTCAAAGAAAAAAAAAATGTGTAGTAGGATGGACGGGATTGGAGAAGCCCATCCACTTCATACTCATCTAGCTCCTGCAGAAGAAAGACATGGCCCATAATCATCTTCTCTTTATCCATTGTTTAATTTAAGTATTATATAAGTAGTGGATCCATACTTATCGTATATAATATTTTATTTGAATGATGGGATAACTCTAAAATGACTAAAACACCACCAACTTGGTTGATCCATATCGTTGTTTTTGGGCAAATTGATCTTTTAATTCATCAACCCTATCGGTATAACATTTCAACTCACCAAATAGATGAGTTGAAAAAAGCTGGTAAGCATACTATTCACTCGGGCCATGGCTTACTTTTCAGGGCTTGCACCGGGCCCAATTCCAATTCTCAATCCTGGAGAAGAATGAGATTAGATGGGCCCCATGACAATTTCTTCCCTCTGTGATACTAACAAACCGGATAATTCTTACTTTTTATTTTTTTGAAGGGGGAGTTGAACTCTTAATTTCAAGAAGGTAGATCCTTCATAAGGTAACCTAAAGGTCCGTTGGTGGATAATTCTTACTAACAGTTCGTTTGGTGAAAAAGAAAAAAATGATGAAAAATGAAGTGAAAGAAAAAAAATAATAAAAATTATATTTTCATGTATGTATTTAGTTAGAATGAAAACTTATTAGAAATCTTTTAAAAAAATTTTATTCTACTGTTTGAGAGAAAATAGAGTTGCAAGATTTTTTTTTATAATTGTCTAAATTACCCTTAATTACATTAAATCGATCTAAAGAATAAAAGAATATGTATTATAATTAAAATTTTAAAAAATGTTTCAAAATCTAATTCTAAGAGCACAAAGGCCTTTGGGACAAATTATATGATTAATCAAATCTATACCAAGATTTTTTCAAAATAATAACAAATAAAATATTTTTTAAAAAAATAAGATTAAAATGTGAAGTTAGTTATAAATCACAACTTTCTTACATTTTCTTGTGTTTTTTACAAGAAAAAAATAATTGATTAGTTGTCAAAAAATTCAAGTATAAAAGAAAATTATTTTTTTCATTATTTTTCATTTCATGCTAACTAAACACATTAATTTTTTTTTTTTCTAGAATTTTTTACCATTGTCCCACTAAACAAACGGACTCTAATAATTCGTTTGGTGGAAAAATAGAAGGATAAAAAGTTAAAGAAACAGATAAAACATCATGTTTGGTAAAAAAAAAAAATAAGAATGATGAAAAAGTTGATGTATTAACTTTTCTTCTAATTTACCAAAATCAATTGCTCCAAAATTGCGAAGAATAGTGAATGAAAAGTTAATTATATCTGTTAAAATATATATTAGTTGTCTATATATCATATTTATCAATTGTATATTATGTATACATTAGTTTCATATATAGATATAATACTAAAATATGTATTTATATTTTTTAATAAAAAATAAAATAAAATAAATACTTTTTCCAACTTATTAAACAAAAAAAAAATCAATAAATCTTATTTGTCATCCCTCTTACCAAATACAAATGAAGGAATAAATGATTCTTCCCCTCAAAGATAAAAAATATATTATTCTTATTTTTTATCTTTCTATTTTTTCATTCACCCTACCAAATAGACCATAAATGAATCTTAATAAGAATTATCTCTTATCCATGGATGGTTGTGCAATGGTTTGGGTCAGTTCCACAGGCTTGAATTCCTTTATAGAAATTAAAGTAACTTATACATATGGCTTTATGATTAAATTTGCCTACAATTATAAAACAAATTCTTCATTTTCAAGATTAATTTAATTGAGAATTGACTTATTTGCATAAATTTACTTATGCTACGTTTAGTACGATGAAAAAATGGAATGATAGAAAATTGAAAGGATAGATAAAACACTATGTTTGGTAAAGAAGGAAAGTATGAAGGATGGAAAAGTGGATGAATTAACTTTCCTTCCAACTCACCAAAATCAATCCCTCCAAAATCGAAAGGAAAGTGAATGAAAAGTTAATTATTTATGTTGAAATATATCTTATTTATCTATATATATTATGTATACATTTATTTCATATAAAAATAATAATAAAATATGTATATATATATATATATATTTTAAAAAAAATTAATTAAAAAATATTTTTTTTTCTTAACTAGGGGTGAAAATTTTCGACTCGACACAAATTTTATGACACGAACTTGATTATAACTCGATATGAATTTGAAAATGACCTGACACGCGAATAAAAAACTCATAATTTTATGATTCAACACGAATCTGACACGACATGACTCGATTGTCAACCTTAATCTTAGCTATCACAAAAAAAAAATTAGTTATTTTTATTTTTCATCTATCCAATTAAACATAAAAAAATAAAAGTGTATCATTCTTACTTTTCATCTTTGAAGGATAGAAAGTGTATCCCACCTAATTTTCATTATTCCTATCAAACGGAGCATTAGAGAATGAAATGGTCCCATAATTTGAACATATGCACTGTTGACAATAGGCCTACCAATGAATCGGATTTGGACTGGATTTGGATTCATCCGGATTTGATTAAAAAAACGTTGTCAAATCAAATCCGTTTACTCGACGAATAGAAAAATATTAATTCATATCTGAATTCAATTTATAACCGGATATCCAGTCAAAATTATAATGATATTTCACAAAAATTTCAACAAATAATATTTTTGTTAAGACCAAATATAAATAATCAATACACATATATGTGTATATTATATATAACTATATATTACATGTAATAAAAGTCAAAACACACACACACATATATATATATATATATATATATATATATTAATTGGATCAAATTTGTATACATCTATATCTATATACAATTGAAGAAATCTATACAGATTCAAATTATATTCAAATAAAAGAATGAAAATATTCGTTTATATTCGATTAAACGGATTCGAAGCGGATTTAGAAATTCGATTTATTGAGAGGCTTAGCTGACACTATGGAGTATTATTAGAGTCTAACATTTTATTTTATTTTGATAACATTTTTTTCTTTATTATTTTTCTCCCTCGATAACTGTGGTCAAACATTTGATAAATCCCAGAAAAGTTGAAGATGTTAAGGAAAGAGATCTAGTTGTCTTCCGCTAATGACAGGTAATAAACAGTTAAAACACAACCTGTCTGCTTACCTTTTACACATTCTTTACAGTTTCCCATGTTCTGTATCTGTGTACTGTTTAAAACAAGAGAAAAATTATTACAAGTATTGCTTCTCCTTTTAAAAAAAAACCTTTTAGTCTCATTAAATTACTATCATACTACAATTGGATCATCTGTTAAGCACAATAAGAAACTAGTCGTATTTCATTGTAGTCTTTTTTTATTTATGATTTGCAAAAATTTCTCGAGTTGACAAAAATACAACACTGCACGAGCCGTGCATCTAGTGCAATATGTTTGCTTTTTTCCTCTATTTTTCGTTTTCAAGCAAAAAATTTTCAAAATGTTCCCGACCTATTCAGTAAGTTTAAGTTTTGAACCATCCTTTCTTAGATATGTTATGGTTAAATGGTGAAACAAAAAGACCTTTATTGTTGCTTGATTATTTAATTACCTATAGTTAATGATCAACTATGCATTAATGTCACCTCAAACATCCGCTAATTAATGTTAGAGTCATTTAGAGAGAGAGAAAGAGAAAGAGAAAGAGAAGGGGACTCAATCATATTTAAGTGATATTAAAGGGTGATTATGTTGTTTGATTCAATAATTAAGTCTAAAAAGTCCGTAATCAAGTGTAACAAGTTATAAGTTCAATACTTTTTATACTGCTTAATCGTCTGTCGTCCTTATTTTTTAAAGAATATGTCCTTAAACTAGTTCAAATTACGGTGATTAATCTCAAAGTTCGAGGGAATAAACAACACAAACTTAGACATCTTATTTTAGAAAAAAAAGAAAAAAAGAAGCACTTGTGGTTCAATAATATTATCATTATCATCTCCTATGGCTAAATTGAGAAAATATGTCCACAAAAAATAGAAAAATAGAAACTTCCGAAGTGAGAGTGAGTTGGTAGGTCTCTTGCTTCACCTCTCACCACTCACCACTCACCACTCACCATCAATAGTTTCTTTTTTCCTTTTAAGAAGTTCGTCCTCAATAATGTTACATTCTTCTTTTGACTCCATTAAATACAAATTTACATTTTCTTTTGAAGTATTTTTCTTTAATATTTATTAAAATTAGATCATGTGTCATAATCTAAGACAAAATTTACCCCTTATGGACGGGAAAATCTATAGTACCGATTTTTTTTTTGATATTAGTACCACTTGTTATCATATTTTTTTGGTAAAATTATAACTTTAAAAAAAATATTATAATTACTCAAAGAAAGACTATGATCAATCACAAACACCTATAATCAATCATAAATTCTCGATATCGATCCAAATCATTCATTATCAATCATGTCATTTAAATTTATTATTTATACCTTAGAAAAATTATAACTTAATCATAAAAAATTATAATTTTTAGTACAATATCATAGTGTTTCCTCTCATAAACAATTCCTCATTTCTTACTTCTTCGTTACTTTTAATTCATTCGCTTGAAGACTGGTTATGAACCCTACGTAAAATCATTTTTAACTGTCCTTTGACGACTCTCTTATTATTCAAGCGATTGTTTGCAAATTTATTTGATGGTATCATTGTTACATTCATAAGTCAGTTACTCTATAATTTATAAGATTATTTCACAAAAAAAAAAAAATATATATATATATATATATATAAAGAGGCAAGTCAACCAAATCAATTTATTGAGGGTAGTATCGTCTTTTTGATATGTGCATGCCGACTAACAGCTAACAATTTCATGAATCCACGTGGCAGGTGTGTTTTGGCAGTTTCATTACTCGCGACTCATGCTGTGACACGCCCCCTGTTTTAACTTTTAACCATTGGGTTGAGTCCAGGCAACCTGCAGTCAATGACCCCACCGCGGGCCCCAGCTAACCCCTTGCCTGCAAAACGCTACCATCACAAGCCATGGTCTTGCATAATTCAACACTCTCTAGCTCAAAATTACATGTGTCAAAGAAAGTAACTTCCCAGATATAATGCACTTCGAATTTTATTGCTTAAACTTAATTATTAGTGAAATATAATATTAGATATATATTTATTATTACTTTAATAATGATAATATATTAAATAAATACTTATAACCACATCTCAATAATTGGCATATATGTGAATGTGAAGAAAAATCACGCAAATGTATTTATAAATTTTAAATTAATACTTGAATATGTTTTTATTTATGAAAGAGCGAAACAGTTGAAGATTAATATAATAAAAGAAATAATATAATAAAATATAAAAAAGTTGTAATTTAAAATTAATTTTTTATTTTATACTTATTTTTCTTAAAATATTTTATTAATTTTTAATTTAAAAAATCTTTGTACGAATTTAGTTAACCATATAATTTGTGGCTTAGAGACCTTCGTGTTAATGTTTGTCCCAAAATTAGGTTAAGAGTTACTGTTTTAAAAAAATTTAACTTTTAATTATAATACATATTTTTTTCTACTTTAGACTGATTTAATATAATTAAAGATAATTTAGACAATTAAAATAATTTTATTATAACTTTTCTTTCTTTTGATTAATAAAATAATTTTTTTTTTAAAATTTTCTTACAAGTTTATTATGTTAATCAAATACATGCATGTCAATATTTTTATTTTTTAATTTTTTTCCCGTCACTATCATTTTTGCTTGTCAATATTTTTTTATTTCTAAGCAAACGAAGTTGAGAACCATAATTTTTTTAAAAATCTAAATTTATCAAAAAATGCCTTAAGTTTCCCAAAAAACCCATGAACCTCGTAGTCAGCTTAACAAATCTCAGAGCCCACCAAAATAAATCAACCCCTTCTTCTCTCAAATTCTCTGCCAAGTCCATACCCTCTCTCTCTCTCTCTCTCTCTCTCTCTCTCACAAGTCTCCATTTACTACAGACTCCTTCAAGACTCCCAAACTCTCTCTCTCCTTCACGCCGATGGAGAAGTACTCCTATAATTCCTATCCAGAGTCCGGCGACTCCTCTCCTCGCTCACGCGAAATTGAATTCGAAAACCCTACGCCATGGGAAGATCAACATCAAGCTTCGAACTACAAGGTCAAGTTCATGTGCAGCTATGGCGGGAAAATCCACCCCAGGCCTCACGACAATCAGTTCTCATACATCGCCGGCGAAACCAAAATCCTCGCCGTCGATCGGAGCATCAAATTCAGTTCGCTGATTTCTAAACTCTCCGTTATCTGCGACTTCGACAATGTATCGTTCAAGTACCAACTCCCCGGCGAAGACCTCGACGCCTTGATTTCGGTGACAAGTGACGATGATCTTGAGCACATGATGCTTGAGTATGATCGGCTGTATCGAGCATCGCCTAAGCCAGCTAGACTGAGATTGTTCTTGTTTCCGGCGAATCCACCGGCGGTGGTTCCGCAGCGGAATCAGTCTTTCGATTCTGATGAGGCCAAGTCAGAGAAGGAAAGATTTGTTGAGGCTTTGAATTCTGGCCCGATCCAGCCGACTCCACCACTGTCGGCGGTCGCGCCGCCAAACAATGTGGATTTTTTCTTTGGTTTGGAGAAAGGAATGGCAGCACCGCCACCGCCGGCTGTGGCAGCGAAGGTTCGAGATCCGATTCCGGAGTTGGCAGTTCACGAACCAGATCTTCCGGCTCCCTGTGTTGATCCTCGGGTTATCAGACAGGATCCGATCCAAAAACACATTGAAGATTTGCAGAGGTTGCGAGTAAGCACTGAAGAGCAAGGGATGTATCGTAGAAAAAGCGACGATAATTTAGCTGGAGGTTTTACCGGAGACTATTATGTACAGAAAGTGCCAGAAAAAGCAGCTCCGCCAAATTTACCGGTGACCATGCCTGGTTACTGGACGGAAAAGCAAGTTGCCGGTGGAGTACTTCCGTCGAACACCTGGGGAATGGAACAACCAGTTTATATGATTCCAGCTCCGGCAGCGGGTATGTATCAAGCTCCGCCGCCTCCGATGGGGAGACCGATGATCGGGCCAACCGGTCAGGGGTACTATGCTGTCCAGAGAATGCAACCGGATGTTTATCGAGACCAGCAAGTCTACAATGTTGTTCAATCTGCACCACCACCGGTACAGTCAGCCGCAGCGCCAGTGCCAGCGACTCTGCCCGCACAAGCACCTCCTAAGGTGGCGGCGTACTCGGAAGGAATAGGAATGATGAAACCGACAACCACCGTAGGAGTGGGGGTTTCGGACACAGGGTACGCACAGGTGGCGTATGACAATGGGTTTGGTAGGCAAGTTTTCTATACGCAGGCGGCAGGAGGGGTTATGCCACCGGCGCCACAGTATCAGGCAATGCCTGCGGCGGTTAGTGCAGAGATGAGACCAGCTGGAGTGCTGAATCAAGAGGGTGGTAAGGTGGTTGCTGCCAAGTTTTCGCAAACTACGGCGTGATTATGGTATATCTAAATTACAATTAGTAGATAATAAGTTCGTCCATGTTACTTATATTATAAATCATCTATAGCTGTTGCTCTGTTTTATATATGCAAGTGGATCTTAATTTATGTTGTTATATATCTATGAGAGGCTCCAATATGGTTGGTTTTATTCACTTGCCGATTATTATTTTCATTTATTGTTAAGTGATGATCATATGACTTGACTAACTTGAAAAAGCATTAAGAGTTTTTTTTCTTGAAAGTCCGAGAGAAACTCATTCATTTCTAACTTATTAGGCTAAGCCATTTAGTTGCAGTCATCTCTTCCTTTGTCTCTTGTGAGTCTGCTTCGTACGAGTTGGGTGTTTAAGCATTGTTCTTGTAGGTCAGAAAAATATGAGGCTTCCCCAACCTAAAAGATTTTCTCCAACTTTTCTGCCAACAAGTAGAAACTCACTGCAATGTGAATACTAGGGGTGGGTTTTGGTGGTGGGTGGGGTTGTGTACATAGAACACCTTGGATGCTCCAAAGATGTCTCATTGAAGACAACCTCATACATTTGTGTGGCCACTTTCACTTTTGCATTGTCTCCTCCATTCTTGGGATTTTTCCCTTTTCATGTTTTTTCACTTTTTGCAGCTTCTATTGTCTCACTAGTGTACTGCACGGATAAAAGAAAGAAAACCATATCCAAAGTTGGCTCCTTTCTAGATTCTAGTTGTTTGGAACAAAATACCCCAATGGTGGTTGTGTAGTATGTATTCTCTCATGTGTCTAATCTTGTTTCTTTTCTGTGTTTGTTGCTCTTTCATTCTTTTGCTGCTAACAATATTAAAATGTGAGTTTTTCTCTACTAGAATTGTCACCTTGAAATGTCTTACTTTTGAAGTTTGGGACCCCCTCACTATCCCAAAGATTAGAAGACTTGATGTAGTCTCCAAGGTAAACATCAAAGACTTCGGTTCACCTGGCCAACCTACTGCATGGACCCCCTTCCTACATCCCTCTTAGCTTCCAAGCATATGGAATTTACAATCTTAACCCAAAACAATCATATTCCAGAGCGATATGCAACTAAGATTTAATATATCTAGCCACCTTCCGTGGAAAATTAAAACTTTGTTGTTTATGTGAGATCACTAATTATTTGAATCATGTTACACCACCACCTGTGCCAGTCGCAAATGGTTACGGGTATATAGGGCCAAAAAAAAAAAAAAAAAAGAATTATAGCACTGTCTTCCCTTGTTTTGTAAAGTCAAAAGTCACTGTTTCTTATAATCCTAGACGTGAAGTCTAATACTGATGAACAGTAAACAGATATATATATATATATTTTTTTTTTGGGGGGAGGGGGAGGGGGAGGAGAGAAGGGGTGTGAATCATTGACCTCAAAAAAGTAAAATCTTCACAAGATAAAAAGTACCATTAAACCAAAAACCCGTCGGTAATAAATAGAGTTATAATTTACATTAGTGGCACTAAATGGAGAAAGTTCAAAATGGAGAATATATAATAAATCATGTATGCAGCAGCGTACAAGTAAAAGAATTAGAACATGCTTGGATCAGCATATACATAACGTGGTATAAGGTAGAGAAGTTCTGGGGCTTCATGAAAGTCCCAAGCTGTGCATGCTCAGGCCAGGAGAGTAGCCAGAATTTTAAGTTAGAGGGGCGAAAATATAAANAACAATTTCATGAATCCACGTGGCAGGTGTGTTTTGGCAGTTTCATTACTCGCGACTCATGCTGTGACACGCCCCCTGTTTTAACTTTTAACCATTGGGTTGAGTCCAGGCAACCTGCAGTCAATGACCCCACCGCGGGCCCCAGCTAACCCCTTGCCTGCAAAACGCTACCATCACAAGCCATGGTCTTGCATAATTCAACACTCTCTAGCTCAAAATTACATGTGTCAAAGAAAGTAACTTCCCAGATATAATGCACTTCGAATTTTATTGCTTAAACTTAATTATTAGTGAAATATAATATTAGATATATATTTATTATTACTTTAATAATGATAATATATTAAATAAATACTTATAACCACATCTCAATAATTGGCATATATGTGAATGTGAAGAAAAATCACGCAAATGTATTTATAAATTTTAAATTAATACTTGAATATGTTTTTATTTATGAAAGAGCGAAACAGTTGAAGATTAATATAATAAAAGAAATAATATAATAAAATATAAAAAAGTTGTNAATTTTAAATTAATACTTGAATATGTTTTTATTTATGAAAGAGCGAAACAGTTGAAGATTAATATAATAAAAGAAATAATATAATAAAATATAAAAAAGTTGTAATTTAAAATTAATTTTTTATTTTATACTTATTTTTCTTAAAATATTTTATTAATTTTTAATTTAAAAAATCTTTGTACGAATTTAGTTAACCATATAATTTGTGGCTTAGAGACCTTCGTGTTAATGTTTGTCCCAAAATTAGGTTAAGAGTTACTGTTTTANATTTAAAAAATCTTTGTACGAATTTAGTTAACCATATAATTTGTGGCTTAGAGACCTTCGTGTTAATTTTTGTCCCAAAATTAGGTTAAGAGTTACTTTTTTTAAAAAATTTAACTTTTAATTATAATACATATTTTTTTCTACTTTAGACTGATTTAATATAATTAAAGATAATTTAGACAATTAAAATAATTTTATTATAACTTTTCTTTCTTTTGATTAATAAAATAATTTTTTTTTTAAAATTTTCTTACAAGTTTATTATGTTAATCAAATACATGTATGTCAATATTTTTATTTTTTAATTTTTTTCCCGTCACTATCATTTTTGCTTGTCAATATTTTTTTATTTCTAAGCAAACGAAGTTGAGAACCCTAATTTTTTTAAAAATCTAAATTTATCAAAAAATGCCTTAAGTTTCCCAAAAAACCCATGAACCTCGTAGTCAGCTTAACAAATCTCAGAGCCCACCAAAATAAATCAACCCCTTCTTCTCTCAAATTCTCTGCCAAGTCCATACCCTCTCTCTCTCTCTCTCTCTCTCTCTCTCTCACAAGTCTCCATTTACTACAGACTCCTTCAAGACTCCCAAACTCTCTCTCTCCTTCACGCCGATGGAGAAGTACTCCTATAATTCCTATCCAGAGTCCGGCGACTCCTCTCCTCGCTCACGCGAAATTGAATTCGAAAACCCTACGCCATGGGAAGATCAACATCAAGCTTCGAACTACAAGGTCAAGTTCATGTGCAGCTATGGCGGGAAAATCCACCCCAGGCCTCACGACAATCAGTTCTCATACATCGCCGGCGAAACCAAAATCCTCGCCGTCGATCGGAGCATCAAATTCAGTTCGCTGATTTCTAAACTCTCCGTTATCTGCGACTTCGACAATGTATCGTTCAAGTACCAACTCCCCGGCGAAGACCTCGACGCCTTGATTTCGGTGACAAGTGACGATGATCTTGAGCACATGATGCTTGAGTATGATCGGCTGTATCGAGCATCGCCTAAGCCAGCTAGACTGAGATTGTTCTTGTTTCCGGCGAATCCACCGGCGGTGGTTCCGCAGCGGAATCAGTCTTTCGATTCTGATGAGGCCAAGTCAGAGAAGGAAAGATTTGTTGAGGCTTTGAATTCTGGCCCGATCCAGCCGACTCCACCACTGTCGGCGGTCGCGCCGCCAAACAATGTGGATTTTTTCTTTGGTTTGGAGAAAGGAATGGCAGCACCGCCACCGCCGGCTGTGGCAGCGAAGGTTCGAGATCCGATTCCGGAGTTGGCAGTTCACGAACCAGATCTTCCGGCTCCCTGTGTTGATCCTCGGGTTATCAGACAGGATCCGATCCAAAAACACATTGAAGATTTGCAGAGGTTGCGAATAAGCACTGAAGAGCAAGGGATGTATCGTAGAAAAAGCGACGATAATTTAGCTGGAGGTTTTACCGGAGACTATTATGTACAGAAAGTGCCAGAAAAAGCAGCTCCGCCAAATTTACCGGTGACCATGCCTGGTTACTGGACGGAAAAGCAAGTTGCCGGTGGAGTACTTCCGTCGAACACCTGGGGAATGGAACAACCAGTTTATATGATTCCAGCTCCGGCAGCGGGTATGTATCAAGCTCCGCCGCCTCCGATGGGGAGACCGATGATCGGGCCAACCGGTCAGGGGTACTATGCTGTCCAGAGAATGCAACCGGATGTTTATCGAGACCAGCAAGTCTACAATGTTGTTCAATCTGCACCACCACCGGTACAGTCAGCCGCAGCGCCAGTGCCAGCGACTCTGCCCGCACAAGCACCTCCTAAGGTGGCGGCGTACTCGGAAGGAATAGGAATGATGAAACCGACAACCACCGTAGGAGTGGGGGTTTCGGACACAGGGTACGCACAGGTGGCGTATGACAATGGGTTTGGTAGGCAAGTTTTCTATACGCAGGCGGCAGGAGGGGTTATGCCACCGGCGCCACAGTATCAGGCAATGCCTGCGGCGGTTAGTGCAGAGATGAGACCAGCTGGAGTGCTGAATCAAGAGGGTGGTAAGGTGGTTGCTGCCAAGTTTTCGCAAACTACGGCGTGATTATGGTATATCTAAATTACAATTAGTAGATAATAAGTTCGTCCATGTTACTTATATTATAAATCATCTATAGCTGTTGCTCTGTTTTATATATGCAAGTGGATCTTAATTTATGTTGTTATATATCTATGAGAGGCTCCAATATGGTTGGTTTTATTCACTTGCCGATTATTATTTTCATTTATTGTTAAGTGATGATCATATGACTTGACTAACTTGAAAAAGCATTAAGAGTTTTTTTTCTTGAAAGTCCGAGAGAAACTCATTCATTTCTAACTTATTAGGCTAAGCCATTTAGTTGCAGTCATCTCTTCCTTTGTCTCTTGTGAGTCTGCTTCGTACGAGTTGGGTGTTTAAGCATTGTTCTTGTAGGTCAGAAAAATATGAGGCTTCCCCAACCTAAAAGATTTTCTCCAACTTTTCTGCCAACAAGTAGAAACTCACTGCAATGTGAATACTAGGGGTGGGTTTTGGTGGTGGGTGGGGTTGTGTACATAGAACACCTTGGATGCTCCAAAGATGTCTCATTGAAGACAACCTCATACATTTGTGTGGCCACTTTCACTTTTGCATTGTCTCCTCCATTCTTGGGATTTTTCCCTTTTCATGTTTTTTCACTTTTTGCAGCTTCTAT